AACCTGTCGAGTGTGAAACTGGACATATTAGAAACGCAAGCACTATCGTTGGGCCTCAAGTTCTGTCACCCACGGAAAAAGATCGTCGGCTGGAAATCGAAACCCAGTTTGAGCATCTGAACAATCAGACAAGTGACTTAATAGACATCTCGGATACCGCTCTCGAACGATTTAAGTCAGTTATTCAAGATTTCTTTTCAGTTTCCCATGACACCCCGATTATTAATGAAGGCATACTTGAAAGCCGTAAGAGAACTAGGATGAAGAGAGGATATTATCATCGCCAAGCCAGACAAAGGGTCGGGAACCGTGATAATGGATCGCGAATATGTGCAAAAAATGAAATAAATTCTCTCAGACATCTCAAGGAGTATAAACTCTGTGCAAAATAATGATAAAGCAGAATATGCGGAAACACAACTAATCAAGTGTTTGAAATCCCTACTGATATACGGTCATACGATCAAAGGTGTGAAAAGCTCAGACCAAGGCTGTATGGTATCCCAAAAATACACAAACCAAGGTACTATTGAGGCCAATATTAGATATGAGGAACTCACCGTATCACGTCGCAAAGTGGCTAATATCTATGATGGACCTTATCAGGAAAAGGATTGCTCATCACCAGCTGACTAACACCTTACAATCTGTCGTGAGTGTTAGAAAATTAAACATAATAGACTGTCGAGTGTTATCCCTGTTCTTCAGTATGCCGCTGCTAGAAACAGTTAACTTTCATTGAGCCTACATTGACCAACACAAGATAATCACGGAGATACCAACTGGCCCATTGAAGCAACTCCCGGTCAGATGCAAGTACAACGTATAATTTCGGTTCAGCAATGAACTGTACAGGTAAGTAGATGGAATAGTAATGGGGGCCCTTCCTGGGCCACTTTTGGCCGACGTCTACATGGGCATGTTGGAGGATGGCTTGTTGAAACCGGTTATTTCCACTTTAAGGTACTACCTACGTCACGTAGACGATATTTTCGGTATAGTAGAATAGGCGACCAAACTGTAGGGTGTCGTCAAACGTTTCAAGCAGGCATATCCCATTGACGCATTCACAGTAGAAGAAGAAAGTAACAAAGGTCTGAGTTTCTTGGATGCACGTTTAAAGAGGAAAGCAGATGGATTAATCCAGTTAGTATTGAACAGGAAGAAGTACTGGACGAGACAGTACACATACTTTAAGAGTTTCCTATCAATCACTCGAAAAAGTACACTGATGTATTCGTTGACGACTAATCGTGCACGCAAGATCCACAACGAAGACACTATTGTGGGTGAATTGAGGCGAATCAAAAACACTCTTCTTGAAAATGGTTATCCAGAGCGCTCCATTGAAACCCGGGTGAACTCCAGCGAACCGAGACCCAAAGTAAAAACGGCAGAGAAGAAACAACTATTCCTCAAGTTCCCATTTAAGAGTGACAATGCAGCTGATGAATGTACACGAAGATTGGTGCAAGTCCGTAGAAAGACCTTCAACGCAGTCCCCCACAATGTTTTTCATACGAGTGAATCGCTAGTGGTTCCTAGATTCAAAGACAAAGTGCCCGATCAACTCAAATGAATAGTGATCTACTGGTTCACCTTCTCATGTGGAGCAGGATACATTGGACGCACGACCAGGCACTTAGAAAAGCGAAACAAGGAACAGCTACAGAATTCATTCATCAACCTAAAGGACAGAACTGATTTGAGTGCCATACCGAACCACTTGATCGGTACAGAGCACTGTGTTGACAAGTGTAGTGCCTTTGAAATTCTGTATAAGATGCCATCCCACTTGAACCATCAAGTGGCAGCGAGGTTATTAGCTACCTCTAAAGCGGTAAGCATAAGTTTGACAAGACCAAATCTCTGCATCCAGAAGAAGCTCGCTCACCCGTTGCAACCTCTATGGTCAACAGCTACAAGAGGAGAAGGATATTGGGCCCAACAACAGCCCGCGCCTTCTATCCCTTGATTACCTGACGCACATCATGAGAGCCGTTTGATTTTGTCTAATCGGTGGTTTACTACGGTACTGATCTACGGAGTTGATTTTCTTAATGTATATTCTGTAATAGGCTTGATGATGAAGAAGTCGAAAACAATTGTTTGCTTTACACGTTCCGCCCGCGCTTATTTCTCGAATCTGATGACAAAAATAGATATTTGACACGAAAAGACGGGAAACATGATTGTTAACAGAAATGACAAAGGTTCACAAACTCATTGAAACGGACCGGACGTTTTACCTGTCTACCGCGTCGGTCGTTTGCCTGGGGTTGAGGCGGGGTAGGCAGAGGGTCAAGGGGAACAGATTGTTTTGGGTTATCTGGTGCTCGGGAAGTCAATACGGGTGCGGGTTTTTGTGTGATAGCATCAGGATGGGATGGAAGTGGTTAGTCAAATAAGGATACTTTGAGGCAGTCGATGAACACTGTCGTTCGGTGACCATTCAGGTCTAAAGTGAAGTGCTTTGGAGTTCGTAGCAGAACTCTGAAAGGGCCAGTGCAGGGAGGCTGGAGAGAGTGCCTCACGACGTTAGTGCGGAGGGAGACATGAGTGCTCAAGAGGAGACGTTAGACGTAGTGAACGTATGCGCTGTGCTAAGGAGGATGCGAAGTTAGACGAGGGCATACGCGATGAAGCTGGAGGCGAACCGAATTTCCCAGGTAACTTAGTGTTGTACCGTAAACCAACAATGCAGAAGTAGGTCATTTGGCATTCGGCCCCTTCGTGGGATTCAGCTCAATTTGGTGTAAAAATTTTGTAGGGAGTGCTAAAGTAAGATAGCTGGAAAAGTCTATGAACCCCGCGAGCCAGCAAAACGTTCCAAATCGAAGAGCTTAGTGTGTTCATCCTAACGGGAGAACACGTAGCCACTCTTATGTTTGAACAAGCTCACTTGTACGCCGGCTGCAAGCTCTCCGGAACGATGTTCGTTTGTTAATGGAGACTCAGGCTGCTGTACCTGCGTTGCGTCCTATGGAACTAACGACCCGGTGTGCGATAGGGTAAAAGTCAGTGGAAAATGTAGACAACAGTGGGAGCAACTGCCAGCGACCAGAGGCGCTACAGCCGTATGACATCGCATCAACTTGAGTCGACTGATGCAAATTCTTAGGCACGCTATAACCATGAAGTCCAATTTTGTACAGGCTGATTGATAGACTCCTCGTCGTAGGTGAAGAGGTGAATGATGAAAAAATCAGCCTTCTTGGAAAATATGATGAGAAGTCTAAGTCTGCATGGGTCATTTTTGTTGATGTTATCCCGCCTCGGTAGCCTAAGAGGGCTGGAAATCCATATTCGCCCATATATGTCTGTCAGAACAGGGGGAACTCAAGTCGGCAGTCATTGAGCTAAAGAGATGTACTGATGATGTGAAAAGCAATCTCCACATAGTAAATGTTGGGTAGTTACTCGAACCAGGAGCAACAGGTCAAGGACCCTTTATGCGCGCCCGACGGTTGCTGCCGCGGCCTGCACTCAGCTTACACCAATCTTTGCAGTTTAATTAACAAGCATGACGAGTTGTGCGACTTCATGAACTCTCGGCAGCCGGACGTTCTAGGACTGGCTGAGACGTGGTCGGATCCTGAGGCAAGTACCCAAGAAGTTAAACTCAGTGGCTACTTGTGTCTCTGCGCGACCGAAAAGCAAATGAATGCGGTGATGCGCTACCATCCATTCTGTCTTCCTTATACGGGAGGATAGTAAGCAACCAAACGAAGCGAAGATAGCCTATGCGGGTAACTGTGATGCTCGATTCATCTGAGTCGGTGTGAACTGTTCGTGAGTGCAGCTTATTGCGGTCTGTGAAAAGGTTCTTTGGACTAGTTGTCGCATGCCCGAAACCCCGTGAGTCGTCCGCCTTCTTGCTAATGAGTGGTTTTAACTTACCACGAAAACTCTGTCCTCAGGTGCAGCTGCCCTCAGACATTGTGGTATTGAAAGCTTCGAAAGCAAGCGGGGACAAACGATGCCTGTTTGTCAATGCTGCCTCCGCACCCAAAAGTTGTATCACGGACTCGTTGAAAGATGACTTCTAACACCAACTGGACGAGTGGCTTCGTATTAGAAATTTTCTTTTTATCGGGCATGTTTTTAGCATTCACTTATTTCTGCTTGCTTCTGTGTCAGTGTCGCAAATGCCTGACTAAAGTGGGTTGAGCAGATCACTGTGGGGTGGATGAAGGGATCTACCTCGTTCGACCGCTACGCGCACAACTACGTGGGATCTGTGGCTCGCGGGGGGGGGGCAATCAAAAAATGTCACCCTGTACAAACTAACGAATAGTGGAACTATTAGGAACTATTAGAAGGGGATCAAAACAAACACCGGCATGCTGAATCTGTTTCAGTGTATTTCGTGCCCGAATAGCTTTGCATACACTTTGGACTTTACAGTCTCCATGTATGCAACGGCTGTGGAGCGGTTAGGTAACAATACGGTCATGCTAATTTACGTGATAGAGTCGGTGATTGCGGACGACTCTTCAGCAGAACGCCATTCCAAAGAGGCGAGTAGTCGCGATACATTAGGCAACGCTGATTGTGAGATAACTGAGACATTGTTCTCACACAACGAGCGTCGTAACAAGGAAGATGGTTTAGAGGAATCATCCAAGTGGATTTAATGGCTGTGTCGCCGCTGCAACTTCGGATCAGTGGCGTTTCAAGATGATTTGTCAGCAGCCAACCAATGTGTGCGTGGCAGCCAGAAGCAACCAGTGTCAGCAATAAGAGCGGATGATGGATATGAGAAACTACAGCAGCAAGAATACATTCGGTAAGGTTGCACACTTAGCGAGATAACCAGAACCATTTCATTGAAATGTGAGTGTATTTCTCTAACCGTTGATAAAACTTGTTGAAAATAGCTTTGCTCCTTGATTTGAGAAGCTGGCCAAGTTTGACCCCCGCAACAGATGTATCATGTCACCTGTATTGACAGTTGGAACATAACACGCCCAGTGTGTCCGAAAGTACAAGAGAACCGATTAGAAGACAGTGCATTGTGCAATTTTATTAGAAAAAAGTGCAAAATAGATAAAGAGGCAGCAGTTGTAGTAGAAGATAAGCAAACAGGTGGAATGAGAACTATGCACCTGATTGGCTGGAGGCGAGCGATTCCTGAGCTCGTAAAAAAGTCACCAAAAGAACGAAAGACAAAAAGGTGTTATTGTGAGAAATAGAGTGAAGTCAAATTTGATATGTTGTGTTACGTAACTAAGGCAGTGAGGAGCAGTCTATGAGCGACAAATGAGTGAAGGTTTACATGCAGCATCTAAGACTGGTTGACAATCGTCTCGAGTTGGTGATTTGTGCGCGTCACAAAAAACAGTGCAATGGGAGCCCTAACGGTGAGCTTACAATATTTGATAGAAGGTTGGGACGCTTCAGAAGGAACACGGAGACAAAAATTACTGTCAGAGAGTGATTAATCCAGCGGTAAGATCATCATCCAGTTCATCATCATCCGCCGGGCTCTCGTAGGAAGCACCAGATCGATCAGAACGAGCGCGGAGGGCTGACACTGTGGGTAGGTCACTAAGAGTTCTGGAACGATCACTCTGTGGGGTAGACGCGGACAGGTGGCTCAAAGGAGGCAAGGTTGATGTATGAATCGGGCGAGCAGACCGACCAGTAGGAGGTAAGCAAGTGCGCTGGTCAGCCGGGCGGACGGTGATGATTAGATTAGAGCTGTTGGCCACCATCATGTCTGTGACTTGGTCCATCGTCTTGCCGTATACCTCGATTCCGTTAACCTCAATTATTTCGTCATCTTCAGCTAAAAGCCCGGTGCTATATGCAATACCGTCGCGATCGAGACGAGATACGAAGAATGCCGGCACAGTCTCATATCCGTTCAAAGTGTGATGATGGCTGACTCCATTACGGATGTACAAGCCGAATTGTTTGTTTGGAATGCGGACAAGACGGACGCTGAAAATAAAATGCGGATAACTGATTAGTAAGAAAAATTCCGTGGTTGGAGTTAGTGAAATAAACGTGGGTGGAAGGTAAGTTGATAACCAGGTTTGACACGCAAGTGAAACAAAGGAATAATACTGATGGGAATAACATATAAATAAAGAGAAGCGAAGGAAAATGATTCATTTATCCAATGCAATGGCAGTCCAGTACTCACCAAACGGTAACGAAATGCATGAATAACACTCTGATGGAAAATAATGCCACACACCAAATGGCCGGGCACGGTTACGGAAAATGTTCCATAGCTATGACTTTCGGAAAAAAATACAGATCTGAAGTGTATGTAAAGGGTTAAGGTCAGTTCCATTGGCGGTGAAAAGCATGACTGTCGCTTGATCACAAAGCACAGGGTGGTTATGAGGAAAAATGAACGCGAGTGGTGGGTGATTCACCAATCACTAACAAAACTCTTGAAAAAGATAGCACGATGCCCCGAGGTGAACATTTAAATTTCTCAATGGAACGAATTCCTGACAAGTTGGTCGTAAGAAGGTACTGGGCCGCAGCCTTAAGAATCACAAGCCTGCCTTGTAATCTTGGGGCGCGGATTCGAGCCTCCGTAAAGAACTGGGCGACCTTCGCGTATCCTTAGCCCTCGTGCGACTGGTGGTGGATGCGCGGTAGCGAAGTGTCGATACTGCGTGCCAGGGTATTGCTGATGCCTTGCTTTCTTCTATTAAGAGGGTGAGGATGCAGTTTAATTCGAAGCGTTCCGCATTCAAGACAAATAGTGATAGTGAAAGAAGCTCAAGGAGCTCATGCCAGTGCGTGGGGTAGAACCGGAATGACAGCAAACTTAGCAACAAGCCGGTGTCAAAAATGCACATCGTCAGTGTACAGATGGAACGAAAATGACATAAAATGTGTTGGACAAGTAGGTGCATGATATAGGCGAAAACGAATAAGCTTCATTCACCAGGAAACCGATGTCCTCTTCATTTAACAGACCGATCGTTTCAACAACGGATGGGGAGTAGCGATAGCGAATTTAATCGTTTTATGGCCTAAGCGGTATGTGGGGCCGATGGATCGCTGTTGTAAATATGGCTGCGTAAGAAGAACGTACACGGATGGTAATAGCATTTCCAGACAAGGAGAGTCGACTTCGTGGTCCTATATTCCAGCAAACGTTCAACCAGGCGACGCCTGGTTTACCAGGAAGGGACGTGGGTGATCGCGACACGACAAGAAACAATGAATAAGGATTTATCATGGATACGTAAGCAAATGCTTGACAAGTTCCGTAGGATGGTTGGAGTGAAAACTATAAGAGTCAAAAAGGATAAGTGAATCGTCAGCTCAAGCGCCTACCGTTTTAACTGCATTGTTGCATAACGATAGGTTGAAATGGGAATTGAATGGGCACACACAAAGTAATACGGGGAGGAGTTATACTTTATATTAACTTGAGAGAAAAAATTAAGATATGGAAACGAAAACGTCCACTCGTGTCTCGCTCCCTTGGACCGATGTCATAGGTAAAACCAGTTTAAGTACATCATAAAAATACGCCATAACAGTAGCGTTTAAATACTGAAATGCGCGAAGTTAGAATGAGCACACTAATTGATGTTGTTAGATTGACGCACGTCATAAAGGGCTATATGGCGTAATGTGAATGTACGAGTGTATCATCGAGATGGTTTCTTTTATTACTGTCAGTGTGGGGGAAGAGACAAAGTAAGTAGGGAGGGCGTTCTAAAGTTGGCACACACGAAGTAGAAAGCAATTCCAGCGGCATTCCAACCGGTGATACTTTGCGGCAAGATAAAGTTGGCAACCTCTCAGAGTGCTACTGTGATTCAGATACAGAAGGCGACAACAAGTACGGTTTGGATTTCTCAGTATCATATCATCAGATCGACACGCAGGCGTCAGTGTCCACCGTACACCTCGAGCGTTTTCAGTCTCAGTTGGTAAGGAAGATGGAGCATACCCATTAGGTTCTTGGTCGCCCTTCGCTGTGGCATTTCAACTGCGACAAGTTGTGACTGTACCAGAGCTGCCAGGCACGGATGGCGTAGTCCGAATATAGCTGAATATAGGCGTTGAGTATCTGAGAGAAAACAGTAAGGTCAAATCGCCTAAATGCTCTTCCCAAAAACCCAAGGTGTTGGTTAGCTTTTTTGGATGCCCTCCCAGCCTGATATGAACAGCCAAGATTTTCTTGTACCATCAGCGATAGGCCACATTCAGGAGAAGTACGCTGCAAAACTTGATCTCACAACTTGTACTCGCAAGTGGATTGAGGGCGTATACGCAACTTCTGACACTTGGCGGCGTTGAAATGAAGTAGGTTCTGAGTCACTCATTTGTATACCCTGTCAAGGTCATCTTGAAGCGATACGAGGCCACCGATGTTTTGATGGCCCGACGACCTTCCTCCATCTTTGCTGAAAGTCGGTGGGGACCCACTGATGATTGAGATCGCTGCGCTAGTTAACACGATTTGGGACACTGAAGAGGCGCCTTCAGACTGGCGACTGTCAACTATCATGCCCATCCTCAAGAAAGGTCGGCGTAGTTTGTGCGAAAATCATCGGGGTACTGGCCTTCTTTCCGTTGTCTTCAAACTTCTCACGGGTATCATTATCCGATGACTCATTGGACCCCGTGAGATCCGAATCACTGAAAGCCAGGCTAGCTTCAGACCTAGTCGTGGTTGTAAACCACATATTTACTCTTTGCCAAATTTTAGAGCAGAGAAGACCGACTATGGTGGTTCTCCTTGACTTGCAAGCCGCATTCGACTCTGTTGACTGCGCCAGCTTATGGCACTGCTTATCCATGAAGCGCGTGCCGGAGAAATTCCTCACCATTTATACAGTCTTTCTACCGCGACTCCCGAGGCCGCGTAAGGGTTGACGGAAAACTGTCTCAAGAGTTCCCCACGACAAGTGGGGTTCACCAGGGTTATTCTATTTCTTCGTTCCTCTTCAAGTTCGTGACTGAGATGATCACGAGTGACTCTGTTATTCCAGACTACCGGAGTGGAAGTTCTGCCAGATGACCGACTGACAAACCTTGAGTATACGGACGACACAACCCTTCTTGGGTCTGACGCAGTGTCTATGTAAACAATGCTGGATAGACGGACACGTAGCGTTTCATGCTTTGGCATGCGCATTACACCTGCAAAGTATTGCTGCAGGACTGGACCGACACACCTACGGTTTTAGCTATCACCGAACAGACACTGGTAGATCGGTTCACTCACCCTGGTAGCTGTCACCCCTGGTGGTCACATCAGTGAGCAAGTTACATCGCGTATCAGCAAGACACATGTGGCTTTCCAGATACTCAACCATCTATGGAGACGGCGGGATATCAACCTGTCAGTGAAAGGTAGGGTGTATAACGCTGCGGTAAGGCGGGTCTTATTGTATGGATAAGAGACTTCACCATTTCGCAGTGAAGACATTAAACGCTTGGCAGTGTTTGATCACCGCTGCTTGCGGAGTATTGCTCACGTCTGGTGGGAACACCGAGTGAGCAATGCTGAGGTCCGCCAGTTGGTTTCGGCAATAAGCCTTCTGGTGCCTCAGTGTAGTGTTTGCTAAATCTTAAACGCTTACGTTGATTAAGCATTGTCCGCCGTACGCCTGTTGATCGGCTTCCTCGGGATACATCATACGCCGTACGCTGGACGGTTGTGAAATCTGGCCACTTAAAGCAGCGGACCTGAAGAGGCTAGTTAAGTTCGACCACTGATGCCTTCGCAATTTAGCTCACGTCTGGTGGGAACACCGCGTGAGCAACGAGCGTGTTCGACGCCTTGTTTAGGGCACAGGAAAAGGAAATGAACCGCTCAGCACCGTCATTTCACGCACCAGGCTCCGATGGCTCGGCCACGTTTTACGCATGACAGCCCACTGACTCCCGCGACGTGCGTTGTTTGCGCGCTGGTGGTGTGGATGGAGGAAGAGGAGGGGTGGCCAAGCGATGACTTGGTCAAGAGGAATGAAGGCCCTCACTTCTGGGCTGACTTCGGTTGGAGCGTCTCGGCTCCCTGGTTGGGGTCCGAAAGATGATGAACACGTTTGGTTGGACACACTTGCTGATATGGCTAGGAGCCGACCTCAGTGGCGTTCGTGCTGTGAGTTTCTTTGTCCCACCCCATCCCTCCCCCTCCAACCACGATCTCATTATTTAGCCTTATATAATTTTGCATGGTACTTTTTTCGTTGCATAGTAGCCGGCTGGTAGCTTACCGGAACGATGCCCATCCGTTACCGGTAGCTCAGCCGGCTTGCACCAGTTGCTTTTTCTCCTTGTTTCTATGTATTGCGGCACAGTAGCTGAGGCGTTTCCCACCTCTAGCTAACGTGTATGATGATGATGGTGTCTGCACAAAGTTGGGTGAAACCGCGAGGTGGCCAGTCCATGACGTGGCATAATGGCATAAAGAAATTGACTGAGAGACTTTATCAGACTGGTGCGTGCCGTCTTCGTGGATAGGGGCTTCGGGATGGTCCACACCAATGGTTGGAGACCGTATCAGACAGGGCGCAGTCACGCAATCAGTGGCATCCATGCATTCGGTTTCTTGAATCTGGTTGTTAATTTTCGTTGCATTCTGAGTATTTTAACGCAGTTCTTTATGGCTTCCATTTTTCTTACATTCTATTTACCTTTAGCCCCACTATATTGCCGTTGTTATCTATTGTTATTCCTGCGATTTGAGTCGTGGCAACTGGACCTACCGCACTTCGGTGCTCGAGTCATAGTTGTTCAACTGAACTATCTTGAGATAAACAGCGAAGAGTAAGAAATTGGAAGTGATAATTCTCGTCAAATCATAAATGAGGAATAGACATGGACCAAGTGCTGAACCATGTGGCACTCCGCATGGAACATCGATCGGGTCAGAGATGGCGCTGCGCACTCACATTCAGATGTTGCTGGATCAGGAAGTTTCGCATCCAACCGAGAACTGGTCCATCAATCCC